GCTAACCCCCCCCCCCCAGATCCTCTCCTTGGAATCTTCCTGCCGATTTCCACGCCGTCTTCGTTAGCGGCTTGAATTTAAGCGCTCCAAAGCGCCGCTGGTTTTCCCCCCACCCGAACGCCGATCATCTCAGGAAGGGGCGTACTCTTCCTCACGGTCCCTTCTCGGCATTCTAAGCTCGCCGGAGGGGCCCGATTCCGCCCTGAGCAGCCCCGACATTCAGCAAGTAGGCGGCCGTCTCCCTGGGCGCCGTCTCGCAGTCGGGCGCCATCGCAAATTTTCTCTGCTGCGAGTGTTCTCCTGCTCTCCACACAGGCCTTAACAGCCTGTACAGAGCCTCTCTCCTAAACTTCTGTTGGCAATCCGCAGCCGCGCTCAGGGCGAAGCAATGCAGCACCTTCTTCCCCTCCCGGTTTGTGTCTGGGAGTTCAGCTGCTGGAGGCCTTATCTTTCCAACCCAGTGTGTTTGGCCTCAGGCGTTCATTTGACTGATTGGATAAATAAGACACTTGGGTTGATTCCTTATTGGACCAGGATCCAGACTTATGCATCAAGCATTTTCAAAGAGTTAAAAATAAAAATAAAGGAATAAATAGAAGGAGAGCCAATAATCAATCACGTATACAAGACTTATTCATACGTATGTATATATAAGTGAATAAAGGAATTTAATATATATATATTAATAATAATGATGATGATGATGATGATGATGATATTTATATTCACCGCCTTTCTGCGGTATATCAAATTCCAAAAGGGGGCGCGGGCCAGCTGATAAGGGTACCCGGACTCACTGCAGGCCGAACCCTAGGCGAGCCAACCGCCTCTGGTATTCTCTCATATGATTATTCTTCGTAAAGTGGCAGATGATAATTCCTTCAATGGCCCTTCTCTGAAGGCCAACTCTAAGTCTTACCATTGCGCAGTCAGGCTAAGGAAACTCAATAATAGTGGTACAGTCTCTCCTGCCATCAGGGGGTTGGACTAGATGACCTCCAAGGTCCCTTCCAATCTGTTTCCCACTGGGCCCTTTCTCAGGTGGCCTAGAGATGGAGCTCCGGCCTCCCAATCAGAGGTTGTTAGGTCAATCCCAGGGAAAGGCTAATATTTGGAATAGACTCTCCTGTTGCAGCTGGGGGTTGGACTAGATGACCTACAGGTCCCTTACAGTTGATTACCCCTGAACTCACCCGAGCTCTCCTGATACCGGAAGCTAAACGGGTTAGACCTGGTTGATACTGGGATGGCAGTCCATCTGGGAGTATTGGGTGCTATAGCGGAGACGCCTTGAGGTGTCATAGCAATCGGAGAAGGAACTTGACGGGCTAGCCAGTGGGTCCCTCCTGGTGACCCCAGCCCTGCCACCCTCCGCTCCTCCTACTCTACTCACCCCTCCCCAGATTTCTTTCCTTCTCCAGGCGCAGTTCACCCCAGGGGCGTCAGGACCACGGGTCAATGACCAGACGGACAGCAGGAGGAGGCTGCCACAGTCGGATTTCACAACAAACCAGGTCATGGATGGAGCTGACTTCCCGCCAGAGGACCGCAAAAGGTCTCCAACAGTTGTCCAGACGGGATTCTTCCTGAGGGCTCCCGATCATGAGTATCTATCAATCAGGTCCCGGCCTAGGTCGGCTTCTACCACGGTCAGGTATCTTCTCAGAGGGACAGCCCTCTTCCAAAGGGAGCAGGGAGGAGGAGAAATCCGTTTGGGGTCAACTCATTTCAGCGAACCCCTATCAGGGACGGAGCCATGGGGGGGGTGATGCTCAGGATAAGGACCCCCCCCAATCAAAGGGAAAGGTCCCTTACCATCCCTCCTTGGGGGCTTGTTCAAGCCGCATATTATGGTCTGCTTCGCCTTAAGGCCAAGCCATCTCCGGCCTGTGCTCTTACTCTCCCTCTGTCCTCCCTTCCTCGGCGGGGAGCCCAGGGGATGCCATTCCCAAGCAGCCCAGGGTGGAAGCTAATGTCATTCCGGCTCCGCGCATTGCCTCCGATCCGGGATCAAGGCAGCTGATCTCTACAGGCCCCCCCCACCTCGCCCGGGCAACAGGTCTTTACCCCAACCTCGGCTCAGACTGCTCCACCGATTTAATCCCTCGAGGTTGACGAGCCCTGTTGGCTCCGCATCCTCCTCCTCCGCTAATGATTCTCCGGAGGCTCGGAAACCCAAAGATAAGAGGGCCGAACTAACCTTATGCCAGGCTCCCTAAGCCTACTCTTGGGCAGCCCTTTCTCAGGTGGCCTAGAGGTGGAGCACGTGCCTCCCAATCAGGAGGTTGTGAGTTCGATCCCAGGTAAAGGCTAATATTTGGAGTAGACTCTCCTGTAACCAGATCGGCTTCGGCCGCCTCCTTTCCTCCAGGCCCCCATCCCGGTGGCTTCACCAACTAAAATGGCATGCCCCCATCTCTACTCCAAGGGCACATCAGGACATCGCTATACTCACGACCGCGGCAGAATCCTTGGCCTCGCTCCCTATCATAAGGTTAAGTTCCTCTAGGACCCTAACCTCCCGGGTTACACAGTTAGATTGGTCTCGGCTCCCACCAAAGGGGACAGACTCTTCGGCACAGCCTCGGAATCTCTGCCAGCCGAGGGCTGAAGCGGGGGAAAAAGTCCTCCCCCTTCAGAGGTCAGAGCCCACAACCCCTCAGCCATTTCGGAAAGTGCCTCTTGACCTTCCTCCAGTCTCTCTTCCCCGACTCGGGCAGCAGGAACCGGGGGGGTGGCTCCTACGGGACTCCCCTCAGGGGATCATGTGGGAGGCTCTTCCGGCGCCCAGTACAGGTCCCGCTTCCCCCTCGCCCCACTGGCACCGACTCAGACCGGTCACCGACCCTTGGGGTTCCTCTCCTTCCCGGCCCGGGCCTGTGTTACTATTCCGCTCGAATTCAGCGCACTCCCCCCGACCTCCAGGGCCCCCACCGAGGGCCCCCGCCAAGCGTGGTTTATTGGATCCCGCCATTTATCCTCTTCACAACTTTCAGGCCTCCCAACTCGTCCCACCCTCCCAACGAGGGCGGGGCTGGTACTCCCACCTCCCCGTGGCCTCCAATTCCTCAGGTGGATGGAGAGCAATCCTTGACCTAACACGGCTTAATCATCTCCTGACCCACCACAGTTTTCAGATGCTACCCTTCCAGTCCTCACTCCTGTTACAATTCCCGCCGATCCAAAAGATGCCCCCCCTTGGGTTGACATCCGCCCAAGAACCCTTCCAAGGTCCTCGCGGCCCTAGCAGCTCTCCGCAGAACCCCCCCGGGCGTCTCCTCTGCCCCTGGATGACTCCTCATCCTGTCCCGCTCCAGACGCCAAACAAAGGGACACCAGAGCTACTCCGCCGCCCTTTACGACCACCTCCTCGCAAACTGACAGGGGCCATTGGTCGCCACCTAATTGCATAACCCCTTGGGGTCCGTAATCGTTCCGGTTAAAGGGAGAGGTCCCCCCCCCTTTTTTTTTTTCCTCAGAAGTCCCCCTTACATCCGGAATTCGGTCAAGCGTATCCGGTGCTCAAAAAGGAGTATCTCGATTGGAAGGGCCTAAACTATTGGCCGAGGTGGTCTCGGGCATTTCCATTGTTCCCTGGGCCCGCTTATGCATCAGACCCCTACAGGGCTCCTGCTCCCATTCTAGGCCGGCAGAGGCCATTCGAAATTCCTGTTCCTGGTTCTGCCAGGGGTCCTCTCGTCTCTCCTCGAGCAGATCAACCCCATCATCAATGAGGGTCTTACCTTTAGGAGCTCCAACAGCTCTCACTCTCCTCAGATTACAGCCTGGCCAGAGGGGGCGCCCTCTCCCTCTCGCTCCTGCTCAGGGCAAATGGTCGGAGAAAGACCGGGAATGTAGGTTAGACTAGTTGGAACTCACTCCACCGTTCTGGCCCTTCATAGCTCCTTCTTCGGGTACGTGGGCGTCTGGTCCTTACCCCCTCGGGCAGCATCATCGCCAGGCTCATGTTATCAGACAAGGGACCACACAGTCCATACGGTTTATGGGAGTAGCCTAACGCCCCTGCTACCGGGCGGTGTGCATTCCTCTCTGTCTCAAAGTAGAGCTCATTCCTCTTCAAGAAGACCCTCACGACCTCCAGCCTACCGATAGGGGCCTTTTTGGCATCCCTTCTCAATGCACGTCTCCCAAGATTCTCGAGACACCCCTCCCAGGGGCCGAAAACTACAATACCCCCGGTACCCCTGGCCCCAAGGCCTCTCTACGCATTTCCTCCACTAAGCCTAGTCACGCAGTCATTCTAGGTCTACTCCACAAAAAAAAAAAAAAAAAAACAGCATAATTGCTTTGGGTGGCCCTCTTCTGGTCAGGTGCCCATGATTGCGGTCCTCCGCAACCTATTGGTGGCTCCTCTCGGGAAAATCCCTCCGAATGGGACCTCCCCTCCTCAAGGGGCCCCTCTACATCCGGATCCCCTGCGGCTCCCCTAGCCGTCGGCAGGTTGAATGGAGCCGCCCGGGAAGCGAGAATTTCTCTGACCAGGTTAGTGATACCATCTTAGCTGCCAGTCGGTCATTAACTACCCGAACCTACAATACCACTCGGAATCCTTCCGCACGTGGGGGGCATAAGTCCCAGGTCAGCCTCTTCCAGCCTCCGTCGCTAGAGCTCTCTTGTCACAGGCCCCGCCAGGACCATCGGAATATCAGCACATCTCGCCAAGGTGAGGCTTCTTCAGCAGTTTGGGCCACCAAGGGTCCAGTCATTGGCATTTGCCAGGTCATCATCTGGGCCTACTCGTCTCCCTTCAGGAGACCTTACAGGTTTGGCACATCGCCTCGGCGGGGGCCTAGTTGGGCAGACAAGTCCTATAGCAGGTCCTCAGGACATGGAGAGGCTCATGAACCAGACGGGGTCCCTCCCGTAGGACAGCCAAGCTTTGGTATGTCCCACTCTCTGGATGATCCGAGCAGCTCTAAGGAGAATGGGCGTTGGTTCTTACCTGACACGCCATTTCTCTTCGAGCTGCGAGGATCATCCAGCCCCACCCTATTCTTTCACCGTCTGGTGGGGTCTTGTTTCGGCCAATGAACCTTAAGTCTAGTAAGATGAGAGTATGAATTTCTCTTTTCTCTCACTTTCGCAAAAACTGGGGAATGCCGGCAACGGAGCCACGTGATGGAAGGCGGAGCATTCCTCAGTAATTAAGCTCAGCCTACAACAACGCAGACTGAAGCACCTCCCACTCTCTGGATGATCCTCGCAGCTCGGATAGAAATGGCGTGTCAGGTAAGAACCAACGCCCATTTCATAAGGCATCAGGGCGGGGGGTGGTGGTTATAAAAAATATCGGATGACTACATTTTTTGCATCACAGCATTAAAATATAATATGAACACAAGCACTGTGGATGGAAAACTACGTTTGTGTATGTGATATTTAATGAGTAATGGCTTAATTGCTTAATGCTTGATCAGGCAACCATGGTTAAATGCAAATTTCATCTGTAAATGTGGGAAAGAGAGATGTTTGCATTGCATGTGAGAATGGTCATTGGACTGCATTAAAATCCAGTGCATCTTGTTAGAAAGAATAATGCCAAAGACATAACTTCTGCTTGGCTGTTTTGAAGCTGAGAACTCAGTTCTGGATTCCCTATGGAGAAAAAAAATGTTGGCCTTTTTTTAATAATCTGCCTTTGCTTTGCAGCCTTGTGTTCATGGTCCCAGTCGCTTGTGCACTTTTCCCACAGAGAAGGTACCAATCTTTCTTCCTTCCTGACTGCCCTATACAATTTTGATATAATCTGAACTAGGAAGGCATGGGATAGGTCTTGGGGGTGGGGAAGCAGGACCATCACTCCATACCTGAAATAGTTATCCATAGGAATCCTTGGAATTGAGTGAGCAAACTGTGTTGTGATGCAAAATCCACCCCTTACTTATTTGTATGTGAATGTCACAACACACTTTTCATCATGTTGCTGTCATTGTGGCTAACTATAAACAGCTATGCGGTTATTAGTTTGGATATCAGGCCCATCATCCTCAACAATAGCTGTGCTGGCTCTGGATGATGAGGGGCATTCCAATGCTTCTAGACTAAATCAAGTTGAAAAAGCTAATGTGCGAATGATTCCTTATTTGTGCTGACCTGTGACAGAAGGTTTCACCTATATATTGGGAGCCATTCTTTTGTATAGACTATTTCTGCCCATTCATACACATTCTCATTTAAAGATAAACTTTGAAAAGATGCAGTATATTATTGCTTCCCAAATCCAGCCACAAGCAGCTCTGACTGTGACTCACACGTTAGTTGAATTCAGTTGTGCTTGAATCCTGGGCCAGTTGTAAAAAGAGGCCTTGCAACATGGAAGCTTGGTTTAGGGCAGGGGTGTCCCACAGGCCAAATGCATCACGCACAGGCCACAACCACCCCAGCTCCACAAATGGGAAAAACGTCACAGAACATCACGTGACGGCAACTTGATGCTGTGACTTTGACACCCATGTTTTGGGGCATTCTGTGGATTCTACATGCCTTATATGGTCAGGGCTGGCCTAAGACAGCTCACTGCATGAAGAACTGATTGGCACCGACTTCCCAAGTCTTGTCATTTCAATTCAACCTTTCTTGATTATTGCAGCAGCATTCATTTCATAGTGGAAACAGTGAGGGAAGCCCTTATTTTGCAAGTAAATATCAGCTCTGTCTTACCACAATTATCTGTGACAGAACTCATAAATAAATTTTTGTCTCCTCTGCCAATATTACATCACCTCAATAACCCTTTGTCTTTGGGCCAGTATCAAGCAGTCTTAGGAGAACAATGTTTTTTTTTTCTTTTTAGTTCAATTGCAATTTCGCATCTGGAACCTGAACTCAGAGAACGAATTGTAGCTGAACATGGGGACAAAGTGACTTTTGCCTATTTTAATAAGGGTTTATGAGTGAGAACTGCCTGGACTTGGTGCCTATGGACTCCTGGACAAACACCTTTGTAGAGTGTTGTCAGGAACAGAGCTTGGAATATTCCAGAAAGAGCAGCACTCCATCTCCTTTCTTCTTTTCCTTGTGTGTGTTTGTGTGTCTGGTTATAGAGAGAAATCTGGGCAAATCTGAGCCTTTCTTTCTGCTATATCTTCATGGTGACAAATGTTTGGGTTTTAGAATATGTCATTTTCTGCTTTATGGCAATGGTGAGAATGCATTACTTGTAGCCAATTAGTCAGCAATGGAATTACTTGGAAGCAGTTATTTCAAGCCTCAAGTCCTCCTTGATCCTTTGCGGGCACAAAATATTTCCTGAACCATATTCCTCTGTGTTTTGAAGACCATAACTAAGTGTCTCTAATCCAAAAGGAACCTGCAGCTCCACACACAGTTACTCAGGAGCAAGTTTTGCGTAACTCAAGAGAGCCACTTCTGAAAAAACAAACATAGTGCTGCATTTTGATTTAGAAATTAATTTTTAACATCAGTTTATCCTACTTCACCTATTATAAATTCTTTTTAATTGAACCAGACTATATTATTAAAATACACTATTAATCAAGGCATTCATGATTAAATTATCATGCTTAAGGTGCCAAAATAGCAATTTGTTCATTCTGTAGGTATATTCTCATCTACCTAATGCTTTGTTAACATTTAATTAGTAATAAATGTTAAATAGGAGCAAATTCAGAACCTTGCTAGAGAGCATAATTATGCAGTCTTGCAACATACATAATATCCTTTAAATTATCTATTAGTTCAGTTTGACAACTTTATCTTCAATCATGTACAAATGAGCAGTATTTCTGAAAACAGCTGGTTGCTTTTTTTTTCTGCTCCTGAACTTGTCAATAATTTTCCTTAATTCATAATGTTGTTTAAGAAATGTAGCTAGAACAGTCTAGCATCCTTTTCCCACAATGCACTGGGTATCCATGTCCCCTTAAATTATACATGAAAATGTACAAATATGAGCCTTCATTTAACAGGATATTCTTTATTGCATGTTTCAAAAGTTTTCCTGCATTAATTAGCATGAGAACTATTTTTATTCTCCTTAAAATCATGATAGGCTACCTTTTGTGACGCATTGGGGTTGATTGAAAACAAGAATTAGAAGTTTAGAAATGTATGTGTTTTTAAATAAAAAGGAAGAACATTTAGCTAAGGTTGCTATTAAAAACCTAAATTTTATAAGTAATCCACCAAAGTAGCATGGAAGGGTAGGACAAGGGATACCTGCAGCTCCTTAGTGTGGTTTAGCCATTTTGCAATCATTAAAAGGGAAATGATGCTTTTAAACCGGAGGGATTAGACAACTTGCCTGAAGTGACCTGAATTATCCCAATGATTACTATACCTGTCTTTTAGAAGGACAGATTAAGGCCAACTGATGCTGTAAGCATGGCAGTGATGCCTCTCATCCTCCGATTGCTTAACTGACAGACTCAATAAGCACTGAAAAGCTACTTTGTGCATGGCAATGAAAAAGTTAAGGGCATAATACAGGTAGTCCTCGACTTACAACTGTAACTGAGCGCAAAATTTCTGTTGCTAAGTGAGACATTTGTTAAGTGAATTTTGCCCCATTTTACAACCTTTGTTGCCACAATTTGTTAAGTGAATCACTGCAATTATTAAGTTAGCAGCATGGTTGTTAAGTGAATCTGACTTTCCCATTGACTTTGCTTGTTAGAAGATCACAAAAGGGGATCACATGATCCCAGGACACTGCAACTGTCAAAAATATGAACCAGTTGCCAAGCAAGTGACCATGATTCTGCAATGGTCATAAGTCTGAAAAATGGTCATAAGTCTGTTTTCAGGACCATTGTAACTTTCAATGGGCGCTAAATGAATTGTTGTAAGTTGAGGACTATCTGTAATCAAGGGAAAAAGTGATGTTCCCCTTCCCTTGGTGCTTCAAGCACATGCTTATTTTGCGTAATGGTTAATCCAAGGCTGATCTTGTGTACCTGTGAATACTTGGACCTACTTCCTAGTCAGGAAGATATTGAAGATGGGGAGAAGATTGATTTTATCAGAGGAGGCAGCCAATATCCCAAAGTGTTCTAAATCAGAAGCAGACAAATGCTTCATAAATATTAACTTATTCTCTACAAATTTATCTGGTTCTTTTTAAAAAGCTATTTTATACTCAGTAGCATTCACCATGTCCTTTTACAGCAAAACCTGCACATTAGTGTCAGAGTATACACAGTGTGACTAGGTGAAACAACTCAGGAGCAAATACAACACACAGGTTTGTATTTACATGTAGTGGTTTTATCCCTACAAAAGCCTATATACTTTGATACAGGCCTTGAATAAACAGCAATCAGTAATCAGCTACACCATGGAAGCACACATGGAGAAAGAGATAGGCCCTCACATGGTCTCTCTTATATTACAGCCTCTTAAAGTGATAGCAGTCAAATAACCCTGCCGACTCATTGCTACCATTGCATCATCATTACAACATTACAGTATTACAGTATTAGAGTATTACAACTTTACAGCAACTGGTCAACTATTAAATCATCATTACCTTACTGTTAAGATTCTCCCCCCCCTCCCCACTTGTGAATTTCCTATTTTCATTGAATAAATTCAAATGCAAATTGTTGTCAATGAGAAAATTTCTGTTTTCTACATTTTCACTATGCATAGTTTTGTATTTCACTTAAATTTGTTGTTGTTTTTCAAATCACATTTTGGAGCCTTCTCTCATAAGAAAGATGTTCCAGGTCTTTTTGATATTAATTTTAGTTCTATAGTACAGGTAGTCGTTGACTTAGACTGTAGGGGAGCCCAAAAATTCTGTTGCTAAGCAAGTCAGTTAAGTGAATTTGTCCCATTTTAAGACCTTCGTTGTCATAGTTGTTAAGTGAATCTGACCTCCCCATTGACTTTGCTTGGCAGAAGGTTGCAAAAGATAATCATTGATCTCAGGATAATGTATTACAAGTGTGGTGCACCATGTATTCCAGGACTTTATGGAAGTTTCCTTTTGGTTATTTTTTAATAATAAGCAACATGGTGCTGTGTTTGCCTTTCTGGAGTTATCTCTACCAAACACTTCTCTATCTTTTTGGCAAAATTGATACTCATCATAGAGCAGGGGTGTCAAATGCAAGGCCTGCGATCCGGATCTGGCTCTGGTCTGCAGGGTGCTTAGATCTGGCCTGTGGGCCTGCCTTGGAAACAACGGACCAGCCCGTGATGCCTCTGCCAGTGAAAACAGATCTTGGGACGGCCGCGGACAGCCCTCCCAGGCTTCGTTTTCAGCTGCGATGGCCTCCTGGAGCCCTCTGCCAGTGTGCGGCCCCCCTGGCACCTCCCTGGCGGAGGGCTCCTGGAGGCCATTATGACTGAAAATGGAGCCTCAATGAGTGACATTGAGATGGCCACGCCCACCCAGGCCATGAACCCCAGTCCCCGAGGTCAAACACAACCTAGCTGCAGCCTTCAGTGAAATCAAGTTTGACACTCCTGTCATAGAGTATCAAGTCCTCAATAAATGCTAGGAAATCAAATTTGGAGCCTACCTAATTGTATTGATTTGTTCATTTATTTTAAAGAGATTTTTTTTTTCAGATGATTCAGCAGTTGCCCAACTCAGGATCTTGCTTCCTTAGGTTTTGGGGGTTTTTTAGTAATCAGATTTGCATGGAATGTGTGGACATAATTTGTAAGATTTATAGATGGATGCAAGAAACAACACCTTAACTTCTTTGCTCTGTTTTGAGTTTCATGGATAGACAAAGTATCCATTCTTACTCTTATCCCCACATCTGCACCAGGACAATGCAGGTTTACCTTCCAGAAGACTGTTGTTACAATTTAATAATAATATATCACATACAAATAATATGTGCAAAATCTGTTGAACACGTAAAATAAGTTTTCTTTTATGAATTTTGAATACTTATTGCCATCTCTCCTTTCCCCAGTCTTGCACCATCCAGATATGAAATTTCAACATAGCTGGACTCACCATATTGGGGAAGACTGTGCTTTAAAATTGCTTATTCTTATGCAATCTATTTTATATTCAGAATATTATCAGAGCAGGTAAAATGCTGCATCTGGAATTATTAATCCAGTGTCTATCCACATCTCTCATTGAAGGGTTGTTCATTTGATACCCTTGGTCTGGCAACTGGTTCATCTGTCTCTTGCTGATAATTAAATGCAACCATTATTTTAAGTCTGTGATTTACCTTACATTAAATTTGTTGAATACAAACATCATTTTGCAAATAATTTTTGAAGTAAATTACAGAACAGGACTATTATGCTGGTGCTAACCAAAATCTGATATATTAGACCGCAAATATTGAAAGATTTTGGTAATGTTGTATTAGCTCTTGACCAATTCAAAATGAAATAAAACACTTGTGATTTTAAAAGTTGTCTGACTCCTCTTTTATAAATCTTGGAGCCATCAGTTAGCTTGAACAGAGCTTCTATTTTGTAAAAGGTATGTGGCTGACCTATTCAGGACTGCAGAATTACAACTTCAGATAGACTTTGCACTTCCATAAAGATGAAAAGATGTCCAATGGTCATTATAGTTATACATTACTTCCTATCTCTAAGACAATACACATAAGATTTGCTCATTGGGCAATGCAGATGACTAATCATCCTAAATAAAACATATGAATTAAATATCAGCTATCCGTGGTAAGTACAATTTCTTAAAAGTATTAAAACAGTAAATGATAATGGCATCTAATCAACAAGTATAGGTTGTTTACAGGTTAGCAAAAATAATGTTCTACACAAATATCTTGTGTATCACAATAAAAATACTCTTAGAGCCCATAGAGACATCACAACTCAGTATTACAGCTATATAGATTAATCCAATAAAGTTGCTGGATAATCGAGGACAGCAAAGGTAAGTCAATCATATAATGTACTGGCTTAACTTTGAAAAGATTAATTCACTTACGTGTATCACATGGTTTGCACATGCAAATTCATGATTTGGTAATAGGTTGATTAATAACATTCTTCAAACTTTCTAGACATGCACTTTCAGCTGCATTCCATTTAAGCTATAATAACAAGGTTAGCAAGGTTATGTTTTATGAACCAACTCTTGCTCCAGTCCTTTTCGTTTTTAACTGTTGCATGCTAGCTGTCTATGTTATTGATTGAGGAAGGCCTGGGTTGATAGCCCAATGACTCTGCCAACTTCCGATCCTCGAGGGTACAAATTCTAAGCTCCAAGGTTATGTGAGTTTATTTTTCATCAAGTAGAGATTAATTCACCTTAATGTATTTAGCACTACCTTTCTATCTCACCCTCCAATGAAGTATCAATGGTAGCTACAATCTCCAATATCTTGAATTCCATAGCTATAGCTTAACAACAGAGGTAACCAATATAATACTCATAATAATTTGTGGTATGTGATATTCCTGTGTTAGCTGCAAAAAAAAAAAAAGTAATGCTGCAGCAGCAAAATTTCAGAAACCAAAGCTATTATTGAATTCCTAATACTTATCTTGTATTAGATTGCTTGTTATTCTTTAAGCTAAATGTTAAAAGAGACGAGATTCCAGTCTATTAAGAATCTCCACCTCTCTTCAAGGTAGAGAATTACATCAGTTGGCTGAATTGTTTGCCTCTATCTTGCATAACTTCCTGTCCCAATTTTGGAGTGAGACAGTTCATTTATGCTTTCATTTCAGTTCATAAACCTACTGATCACAGATCATATAATCCTACTGACCCTACTGATAGGTGTTTGGCCAGTATCCTTTCTTTCTCAATATAACAAGACAAACTTTAAACAATTCTTCCAAAATGGCTAGTACTTTCACCTCTCAAATTGTATGAAAGGACAATGATGTTTTGCCTCTATTACTCTCATGTTGTCTCATACACAGTATTTTATGAAGGCTAAATGGATCAAGAACGCGAGAGGTTCCTTACTGTAACAATGAATGGGTGTCAAGCAACTCTCTGAAAACTAACCAGCTGTCAGTCTGTTAGGACACACAGGCAGGAAAAGAAGGTGGTAGATTTGAACAAAAATATTGGTTTTTGTTGAAATGCAGCCTTTTCTAAAACAGGTATCCCTAATAAAGCTAGCTTATCAAAGAGCTATGTTTTGAATTTCTGCCTGTTTGACAATGCCCTAGGTAAAGCTTGAGATTTTGGGTGGATAAGCAAAATATTCTTTACCAAGCAGGAAAGTGTTGAACAGACCAAGACTGTATAAATTTATTCATTTATTACAAAACCTTACATGGTGCCTAACTCCCAGATGAATCTAGGCAGCTTACAACTTTAAAAATCCAGAACAGAAAAACTTATAACCCTCCCCCTGCATGGCAGCAGCAACACAAATTAACCACTTGATCGGCTTTATCTCCATTCGTGGTCTCCAGGTCTACTGACAAAACCACATCTTCAGGGTCTTTCTGAAAAGTAAGCGCTGGGTTTTTGTATAATATTAATTCAGCTCATACTAAAATGGAGAATTTGAATAAAAAATTTGAAATTATGTACCTTCTAATGTTCTTACAGACCAATAGATGATTATGAATAAACATTTCTTAAATTGAATCCTTGAATTAAATTAG